GGGCCTCTCCCTGCGGGGGGGGGGCCGGGGTTTCCCCTCAGCAGCGCCCCCCCCCCCCCCCCCCCCCCCCCCCCCCCGAGATGCGTCGCTGCGTGCCGGTGCGTTTCTGCAAACAGCCGTCGTCGCTGCTTTGCTCTGTATTGATGTGGTGAGAAGGGAGGGCTTGGGGAAGAGCCAGGAGCACAAACGCGGTGGTGCTTGAGCGCGTTCCTGCTCTGACATCACCTGAGCTGCTCCAGAGGGAGCTGAGGGCTGGAACTGCTGCTTACGGTGGGCTCCGTGCTGTGGATGCAGGCAGGAGCTGCACGCAATGCCCTGAGCCTTCCTCGCTCACCCCGTGCTGCCGTGCCGGGCTTGCAATAATTACAGGACCTCAGATAACGATATCTGCAGTGCACAGCCTCGGTGTCTCTCTTGGCTGCTTCTGGTTGCTGTTTGCATTCGGCTCTACGTGGTCGTTCCGTTGCTTCGGCTTCGGTTCCTCTCGTGCTGAAAAGCGTTAAAAACTTTTGACACGGAGAAACGGCTTCAATCCACTTTGCCGGTGTATTTCGGGGAGGTTTTTGTTTGTCAAGACGTTGTGCCCGAGGGGGAGACTCTATCAGAAACCGCAACAACTGGAAATGAGTTAATTAAAAAGCCAATGAGAGCTCTGCTGTCCCTCCCCCCCGGCACGGCGTGCTGAGATGCCGCTGCTGCCCATTTCGGAGGGACTCGTTGGTGCTGCCTTGTTAATCAGTGACAGATTTGCGCCATAATTGCTAACCAGGAGCAGCCTGCCTCGGTCAGAGCGATGACTTGCTTGGATTTCATTCACCTAGGACAGCTTTTCTCCACAAGGACTGTGGGTTTTAGTGTGATGTTCTTTGCTGCGTTCCCCCAGCTCTGGCTTTCCTCTCCTCAGCAGCGTTTGCTGGTGCGGCTCTGTGAGCGTTGCTGCGTGCACGAGTTCCCTCGTGGCCGTGGGTTCCAGCGGATCCGAGGTTTGCATGGGTTCTCTGCCCCTGAAATGCACGGCTGTGTTGGGGAGGGCCCGAATCCTCTTTAGTCCCTCGTTTTGCAGCTCCGCGTACATGACTTTCATTGTAATTATAATCTCAGCCTTTGTAATTCTCCCTACCGTCGGCGCGGCTCGAGCTGCCTGTTTTATCGCGTGGAACAAGGCTGTCGTTTCCAATCCTCTCTCAGGCCATTATCTGCCTTTGATGCTTTTGAAGAGTCAGGGACGCTTCATTCTACCTTGGCCTCCTCCTCTCCCCTTCCCTTCGTGCGAACCCCCAGCAGGGCGGCGTGCAGAGCGCAGGGACCGTCCCAGCCCTGTCCCCATAGCGCAGCGTTTGCCACAGGGGTGGCGTTTTGCTTCGGGAGAGGCCAGGTTGGTAGAAAATGAGCTCAACCGGGCGCAGTGCCTGCGAGGACAGATGGAGCCTGAGGTGCCTGTGTGGATCTCTGCCCTCAGAGCATGGCAGATCGGGCCAGC